CCTTACGTGAGGTTATAAATAAGTGTAATAAGAGCAACATTAGAAAGGTGACATTAGAGGATTATACAGGAGTATATATGACATACATCTAATCCAGAAATAAGGGGTCAGGAAAAGATTCCATGATAGCCATCATACAATGCAGAATTTCCTGTGTCATTTCTAAATAGTATGCTCATTACGTGCGGGTGTCCTGTCTGTATAATACAAGTTAGGCCTTTGTTATAGGGATACTTAAAGTATTATTTCACCAAATTTAATTTATCAACTTAAAATCCTCAATTTTACTTTTCTAGCATCTTACTGTAACGAAAAAGCAACTATAATAGACTTTCAGAGAAAACTAAGGTCAGAAGACTAACTTGACCTAAAATTACCAGTGCCAGGATCAGGGTTGTTTTTTTGTTTTTGTTGTTTTTTTTTTTTGGACTGGTTTACCCAATAAATTATTCCACTTGCAGGAGACCCAAAGGCACTGCAAATCCAACATACAGAAAACCCATTCCCTATTTCCTCCTAATTCTGCCCTTCTTCCATGTTACCACTCTCATAGTGAATGGGATGAACATCCATCTGATCATCCTAGCCCCAAACGTGGAGACTTCATAAATCTTTCCCTTTCTTTTGCGCCTTTTACATTTAAATTAAATCTGTCTATTCTTCTTACTTATTTCTCCAGTTTCCCTTTCCATAGCCTTGTTGCTGAGTAATATCTCACCAGGCTCCTTTAATAGCTATTTCCCCAGGCTCCATGCACCCAGTCTGAACCCTATCAATCTATCCTTTACATTGCACCTCAGATGATCCTGCTATATAAATAGTATGATCATATTACTCATTTACTTATAAACCTTAATGGATTCATGAATATCACACAATGTTCAGAATTGACAGAAATTCAAGACCGAATTTTCCAAGGGAATAAATATAAAGTAAGATTGGTATTATTTCCCATTTTGTGCACAAAGGGATCCTATCATCTTAGAAAAAACCAAAATAATTCTCAATACATCGTGCAGGTTTTTCATGACCTGACTTAAATTCTAATTCATTGACAGAGCACTAATACTTTCCTGGTTAAGCCTTGCTATTTGATTTGCCCACTGTCTCACTGTGTATTCTGCCTGGAAATTCCCTCCTTCTTTGGCACGTAGCAAACATCTATCCATCTTTCAGGACTCACTTCAAGTGAGACTCCTTTATCTATGGAGTTTTTCCTGTATGTACTCTCTAGCTACAATTGACCTGTGACCCTCATAACAATAATTACAATTTATTGCATACTTTTGTCTTCTTATCTTCTACCTCTACTAGAGGAAAAAAACTCATTGTGACTCACTGTGGACACAGCCTTACCAGGTTTTGTATTCCTAGCACCTAGCACATGCTCAGAGCATAGCAGACACTCAAAAGAGAATTCTGAATGACTAAGTGATTGAAAAACCTAGAGCCATAATTTGCCATCTGGCTAATTCCTTTAACATTCAATTTCACATTGCCTCTTCTGGGAATCTTTTTTCTAAGGCTTCATATGTGGGTTGAGTTCCTCTTCTGTACTCTCACAGACATCTGTATTGTACTAATCACACAATATTATAATTGTTACTTGTCTTTTACTTCTCCTACACTAGTGGTAGACTTCACTGAGAACAGATGATTCATCTCTTGAATCTTCAGCAGCCAATTTACTACCATACATAGTAGGTCTTCAATACCAATTTTCTGAGTAAATTACAAGCAATAAGCAGGGTGCTGGTGACTCACAATTATAATCCTACCTACTTTGGAGGCTGAGATCAGGAGGATCATGGTTTGAAGGCCAGCCTGGGCAAAAAGTGCATATAACCCCATCTCAACCAACAGTTGGGTGCGGTAGCACATACTTGTCATCCCTGATATAGTAGGAACCCTAAAATAGGGGTATTGTGGTCCAGTCTGGTCTGGGAAAAAATAATGAGACCTTATCTCTAAAATAACCAGAACAAAAAGAAATGGAAGCATGGTTCAAGAGGAAGAGTGCCTGTCTAGCAGGCATGAAGTCCTGAATTAAATACCAGTACAAAGAAGAAAAAACTAGCAATAATTGGTAGTATGTCCCAGGGTTTTCACAATTTGCTGAAAATACCAGCTTACATTTTTGGGGTCTCTAAGATAATTCCTCAGAGCTGATTTTGCATCTTTTTAGAAGTCAACCCTACCTGAAAGACTCAGGAATGGAGAGATAGGTGAGAACTATAGGTTGTAAATAGGTCAGTTAATGAAAACAGGCAGGGGTTGATAAGTCTCTGCTCTATACATAGTTATTACAAATAAAGGTAAAAGGTATGGCATTAGTCACCAGGAGAAAATCTTGAAACAGGAGGGAATATCAGTTCTCTATAGGCATAGTCGTTTTAGGCAACTGTGGATAGTTTCTACTTCTGTTAAGTACATGTGAGATGGTACTTTGATGTACTCCTAGCATTATTAAAGAGAATGCTTACCACGTGCCATACCTTATGCTATTTTACATGCACTTACTGCCTAAGTAACCTTACAATGATCCCTGTTTCCTAGTAATCAGACCTTTACTGTTGTCTCCTCTTATATTGCTTTAAGACTGGTTTGTGTTATGGAACATGATGGGAGTGATTGTATGTGACTTTGGAGATTAGTTTATAAAAACATTGGATACCATTTTGGTTGCCCACTTTTCTCCCATATCAACTTCTCTGGGGACAGGCCAGCTACAAATCGTGAGTATCACTATGAACAGGTTCACGTGGTGAGGAAGTGAATTCTCTTACCAACATTCCAGGAGTCAGGTTGGAAAGCAGATCCTCCCTGCAACCTCAGCAGACATCCTGAGAAACACTCAGCTAACCACTACTGGATTCATGCCTTTTAGAGTTGTTTGATGTAACATATGCTTGTTGTCTTTGATTGCAAAATTTGGGTGGATTTGTTACAAAGCAACAGTTACCTATCTCCATTTGATGGATGAAGAAATTTGAGTACAGGAACCTTAAGTTACTTAACCAAAGATACGTAGAGTTATAATTCAAACCCATTTCTGAAATTTTAAAAGCCTACACTCTTAGCCACTCTGCTATAACTGCCTTTCATGCTCAATCTTGACACATTACTTATTTTTCCAATTAAACAATTTAAACTCACAACATACCTACAATTAAAAATGCACTGGTCATAGGCAATTTGCTGAGTGCTACCAGAGATATAAAGAAAAACTAAATGGCTATATCTTCATGGATTTTATTCTACAGTAATATAACAAGTTACAGCTGAGTTCCTAGTAGCTCTCAAGTGATCTGCGAGAGCCATCTAGTGTCTATTCTGATTACTACAATATTCTTAGCTAGATACAAACATAAAGGTTGTATTTTATGCCATTTAAAACCTAATTTTAAGGAACATGAAACATTTAATACCCTCACCATATGCACAAAATGAGAAATAATGTCAATTTTTACATATATTCCCATATAAAATTCAGTCTTGAATTTCTCTCAATATTTAATGATGGTATTCACTCATAAAATTAACCTAAGTGCTCGCTTCAGCACACATACACTAAAATTAAACGATACAGAGAAGATTAACATGGTACGTGAGCAAGAATGACATGCAAATTTGTAAAGTGTTCCATACTTTTAATAATAAATTAAAAAAAAAAAACTAATGTAAAATATTCTATACCAATGTTTGCCTAACCTCAGGCATATCCTTTTTCAGAGTTCTGGAAAATCTGCACAGCTAAAGAAGTTTCTTTTCACTTATGAAGAATGTAGGGATAGGCATGGAGAAATCAGTAACAAGAATATAGCTGAGCCCCACTAATTTGCCAATTTTGCATTTTGAAATTTATCTACTCACCAAAATTTATTTGTAATCCAAAGATTAATATTTGCATTATCTTTGTTTTCTTTCAAGGATTTGTACCAAGTGTTAAAAAACTTGAATTACCCAACATGTACTTTCTCAGTTAAGGCTGAACAAAGATACTCGATCTTATTTCAACTTACACTATAAACAAGTGACTTTTTCACAGTATATTTAATGCCACATTTTTGGCTTCTTTCTTTTTTTTGTTTGTTTATGTAAAACGGCCACAAGCTATTTTAAAAGTATCAAGGTACTGTTTAATGTTCCTGAACACAAGAAGGCTGTGTTGTGTCTTATGGAGAAAATATGTGTGTTTAGATAAGCTTTCTTCAGGCATGAGTTACAGTGCTGTTGGTTGTGACTTCAGTATTAGTTAATCAATATTAAATAAGGTTGTCTTTAAAAAGAAACACACATGAAACTAGGTTATGACCAACTGACAACACTGCCACGACCAGAGGCTTACAGGAACCTAACCCCGTATTTCTCCTAGGAGCAATGGTCCAATATTTGCTAACATGTTCATGGTGACCTTATAAAATATAACTACTACAAATAAGAGAGTTATATATGCTAGTGCTTTATATTCTACTTTATCCTTATTTCCAAATGCTACAACAGAAAGTTTAGTTACTTTCTAAAATAGTCCCAAGTATACTGAACACTGTATCTTGAAAAATCACACAATGTAAAGAATGAATTCTTACAACATTATTATCTCATTGAACCTTGTCCTAAACAATATCTATTAGTTTTCATGAGTTGGCTATATTTTTCTAGTATATATTAAAATAAGTGCATCTATATTAAAATTTTGGTATATCACCAAAACTACTTCATGTACCACTAAATGGTGCATGTATCAACACTGACATGAGTCACATTCAAGAAAACATATATATCATAGAAAAAGTTATTACTTTTAACAAAGAAATTTTTTCAAGCCTCCATCTGGAAGTAGTTATACTTTCCTCAATTCACATTAGAAAGACTACTATAGAGTGTATTACAAAATAGAATATAGCATTCAGCATGGAAAGTGTACAAAGAAAGTATAATGAGATATAAAGTAAGTATTTTATAGATGACATATCAAGAAATAACATTGTAACATATACCTGAAACTGTGTCAGACTGCTGAAATAATAGCCTAGGATCACACTGTTGATCCAAAGACTCTGCATTAGCAACCGGCTGCTGCATATACAAAGGCTGCCCCCTTAAGATGTTCTCTGCTGCTGCTGTCAGCCCGGGTCTTTGTCCTTCACTAAGCTCACCCACACTGTTTTCCAAATCCTTTGAAAAGTAAAAACATTTATTAAAAGAATTAATTTATTCAAAACATTTACCAAAATGAGAAATATTTGTTTCACAACCCCTACCACTCTACTGAGAGGTAGTCTAAAAAGTGCTTATTATGCCACATATATATTAAATAAAAGATAAGATAAAAAGTTAATTTATTACGGCATCTATTGATAAACTTTATTTTTCAATATCTTATTTTTAGGAAGTTAACCATTATCTGTTTTTCAACCTCCAATTAAATAGCAATAAAAGATGTAAGATTTCTTGGGAGGTGGAGATCTAGAAGACAGCAGTTCAAGGTCAGCCTGGGCAAAAAGTTAGTGAGACCCTATCTCAACCAATAAAGCTGGGCATAATGGTGGGGACCGTTACTGCAGTGTAAATAACAGGACTGTGGTAGTCTAGGCCAGCCCAGGCAAAAATGTGACACCCTGTTTGAAAAATAATTAACAGCAAAAGGGCTAGGCCTATGGCTCAAGTAATAGAGTGCTTAATAAGTACATTGTAGTCCTAAATTCAATCTTTCTCTCTCTCTCTGTATATATATATATGAAAAATTCTATTATAATTTAAAATGTTAAATGCTGATACCAATTACACATTGCTCATACAGCTTAAAATTAGAATAGAAAATATATTTCTCATTCTTTATACATTAAAATTCCTTAAGGTTAAGAATAATATAATTTAAATAGCATAAAGACCCCTATATAAATTACTTTTATTTTTTTAGACAGGGTCTTGTTATGTAGTAAAATTGGCCTTGAACTCACAACCCTCCTGCCTTAGTCTCTTAAGTGCTGGAGTTATAGGTATACACCACCATGCCTGGCAATAATTAGACATTTTTGCAAGTACACAGATTGAAAACTACTTTAATCATATTTAGTAAAGCTCTTTTCCCTTGGAAAGTACAAAAGTACAAATATTCCTTTATCATAAATAGGAAATAAGTGAGAAAACTAAAAAAAGATTAAGACATTTTCTTTGTACATTAAAATTACATACTGTAATCTCTAGTATATTTTGTGACTTGGAGATACTGTTCTTAATGAGTTTACTAATCAAGAATGAAATAAAAATTCCAACACCTAAAAGCTCCCATCTTTCTTATTCCACCAATATCTTTGAGGATTCTACAAAAATAACAAAATCTACACTCCTTAGTTTAACATTCAACATTCTCGACATTAGATCAAGGGCAAACACAACAAGGGGATTGGACTATGAGCACATGATAAAAGCGAGAGCACACAAGGGAGGGGTGAGGATAGGTAAGACACCTAAAAAACTAGCTAGCATTTGTTGCCCTTAATGCAGAGAAACTAAAGCAGATACCTTAAAGCAACTGAGGCCAATAGGAAAAGGGGAACAGGTACTAGAGAAAAGGTTAGATCAAAAAGAATTAACCTAGAAGGTAACACCCATGCACAGGAAATCAATGTGAGTCAATGCCCTGTATAGCTATCCTTATCTCAACCAGCAAAACCCCTTGTTCCTTCCTATTATTGCTTATACTCTCTCTACAACAAAATTAGAGATAAGGCCAAAATAGTTTCTGCTGGGTATTGAGGTGGGGGAGCGGGAGGGGGTGGAGTGGGTGGTAAGGGAGGGGGTGGGGGCAGGGGGGAGAAATGAACCAAGCCTTGTATGCACATATGAATAATAAAAGAAAAATGAAAAAAAAAAAAAACATTCAACATTCTCTACAACTTGCCCTAATTCTCCTCTCTTCATTTCTGTCTTCCTCTTATTCCCTTAATCCAACTCTCCTTTAGGACCATCTTTTTCAATTAATTAATTAATTATTTGAGATGTGATTTTATTAAATAGCTAAAGCCAGCCTTGAACTAGAAATCCTCCTGCATCAGTATCCTGAATGCTGCAATTACAGGCATGTTCTAACATGCCTGGCCTAACATCCTTTAAAGGATTTGAAAAATATTGCTTTGAAATTAATATATCCTTTGTAAACTCTTGGCTAATGTTTAGAATGATGGCAGATATATTTTTCCCCAGAAATTAATTACAAATGTTGCATGGTCAAATCAAAACCACACTAAGATTCCACCTCACCCGTTAGAATAGCCATCATTAGAAATACCACCACCAACAGGTGTTGGCAAGGATGTGGGGAAAAAGGAAACCTTATACACTGCTGGTAGGAATGCAAACTAGTACAATCACTCTGGAAAAAAATTTGGAGGCTTCTTAAAAATCTAAACATAGATCTGCCATATGATCCAGCAATACCACTCCTGGGGATATACCCAAAGGAATGTGACACAGGTTACTCCTAAGGCACTTGCACACCCATGTTTATTGCAGCACTATTCACAGTAGCCAAGTTATAGAAACAGCCAAAATGCCCCACTACTGACGAATGGATTAAGAAAATGTGGTATTTATACATAATGGAATTTTATGCAGCCATGAAGAAGAATGAAATGTTATCGTTTGCAAGTAAATGGATGGAATTGGAGAACATCATCCTGAGCAAGGTTAGCCAGGCTCAGAAGACCAAAAATCGTATGTTCTCCCTCATATGTGGACATTAGATCAAGGGCAAACACAACAAGGGGATTGGACTTTGATCACATGATGAGGCGAGAGCACACAAGGGAGGTATGAGGATAGGCAAGAAACCCAAAAAAAGCAAGATAGCATTTGATGTCCTCAGTGCAAAGGAACTAATGCAGAAACTTTAAAGTGACAGAGGCCAATAGGAGAAGGGGACCAGGAACTAGAGAAAAGGTTAGTTGAGAAGAATTAATTTAGAAGGTAACACATATGTACAGAAAAGCAATGCGAATAAACTCCCTGTATAGCTATCCTTATCTCAACTAGCAAAAACCCTTGGTCCTTCCTATTACTACTTATACTCTCTCTTCAAGAAAATTAGAGATAAGGGCAAAATAGTTTCTGCCTGGTAGCGAGGGGGTTGGGGGGAGAGAGGGGGCAGGGGAAAAGGGAGGGGACAGGGGGAAGGGAGAAGAAATGACCCAAACATTGTATGCATATATGAATAAAAGAAATAAAAAAAAATGTTGCATTGTGCTTATACTTGTGTTTAAAGGTAGGGGTCATATCTCATTCACTTTTGTATCTCTTCCAAGGTTGGATGTGGTATACAGTGGACACTCAATAAGAGACTGTGGAGTTTTTGTTAACTTGTTTTTGCTTTTAACATAGAAGACACTTTCGCATACAAACAAACAAACAAAAAAGAGGCTGTGGAGTGAATGATTCTTACAAATCATTTTGAAAAGTTTCAGTCTTACTGGGGGCATGATTCAGGTGGTAGGGCACCTGCCTAGCAAGCATGAGGCCCTAAATTCAAACCCCAGTACTGCCAAAAAAAAAAAAAAAAAAAAAAAAAGCCTCAGGTAAAGTCAAGAGGATGGGACAGATGGTCCACATTATTTTCAGTTATAAAACTCTGTCATTCTACAGGTTAAAGTTGCTACTACACTGAGTGCTGAATAATTGAAATATTAGCTTACCATAATTAAAAGTGGGAATATTTTAATTTTTTCTGCATTTATATTTAATAAAAAAAATCATCAGAGTTTAAAAGTACCTCTGAATGATACACTGCTTGCTGTGAAACTAATAATTCCTGGTTTTGTTTAATAAGAAGAGAAAGAATTGCATCTCCATGAAATTTTTTATGGGACATCTTCATCACTTGTCCTTCACTGGGAGGATCATCTTCCTAAAAGAAGCATAAAGATAATACATCAAAAACTTTATTAGACAATTACATTTTCTCAATTATGATTAATAAAAACTTAGCCATCAAATGATGATATCAGCAGTTTGTGGAAAGAAGATGAACTCCTTATTTTCATTTAGCTCTCATTTCCACAGGACTATAATAAAAACACTTTAATTTGCTTCAAATGAATATAACAGTATAATTAATTTATCAACATTAAACTTCAGATTTTTGTGAAAACTGGACCATCTTTCTCAAGCAACTGAATTATGATGATTTGCAAATATTTTACGTAGTGCCTTCAAGTTTTGGGCTCACAAGTGTTTTTAGTTATGCAGTGCACCAAACAACACCATAGAGGGCAATAAGGATAAAGCCCTACAGTAATGCTGCAACCTGAACCATAGGCAAAACGAAAATGCTGTAGAGATATGTGAGAGTAAACTCTCTATTTCTTTTGCCTTTGTGCCTATGTCTGCCTATAATTGGGATGATTTTTCTATAATAAAATATTATCATTTGTGAAAAAAAATAGACCTATCCAAAAATAAGGGACATTGTGGACTTAGAGTCAGACAAACTAGATTTCCTTGTAAATATATGTATAAATATTTTAAGTTCATTAAAAGTATTTTAAATTACTTTGTTTTTAATGAAATGAAGTTTCTTAACTTTGGAATATAAGTCCATATTCTCCCAGGTGTATATAGATAAATGCCTGATGGTATACGACTTCAAGTTATTCTGGGTTCCTCCAAGATATACTTTGTATTTGACTTGATTATAAATTTGTAGAATATCTGATCCAGATACAGTAAAAATATCAAAATTGGAAATTAGTTTTAAATGTAGAAAAAGAGAGAAGCTATAGTTTAGCCCTGGTTCCTGTTTATTTACTCTAAAAAAAATTTAAACATGCATTAGCATCAGATGAAATTCTAGACTGGATAAAAATGCCGCTATAGTATATTAAGTAGGCCAAGCGTTAGAATAATGCTCCTCTGAAAATAAAGATATCTTACTTATGTCTGATCCCCACATTATTTCATAAAAGTGCTCAAACTCTTTTCCCAATAGGTTCATCCAATTATTTACAATAAATACTTTAAAAAATAACTATTCAAATAAAATCTTATAAAAAATTCATGACGCATTTTCTTACACCTTTGTGAGAGAATATGTTTTTAAAGAACAGCAATACTGAACAAAGGATATGATGTGGATGAGAATAGATTATAATTACCTTTCTTGTTTAGATTTGAAAATGTGTAAAAAGTAAAGATTTCTATTCCTTAATAGCTTCTTTTTCAAAAGAAAATTCCTAGTATCATTTCTGTATGGCATATGTATTATATACATAATATGGCATTTTTAAATGTCAATTTTTCTTCTCTAGAAGTAGGTGATAATTAGGAAGGATTTGTATCCCTGGATCCTGTTTCTGTTTTTCTTTTTAAGCTATTAAATTTGTGTATTTATTAGCACAAATAATACATCTTCCTTAACCATGTTTAGAGAAAAATAACAAATGTACTATGAGAACTGTTGAAGTGGCTGTGATACTGCTCAAAACATTCGGGTTACAATGTATACTGAAACAGATTTCATTACCTAATTATATTTATTAACTGTATATTCTTCAACTATTAGAACTACAGAGGTTAACAGCAACTTTCTTCTTATTCTCACAATTATAACACTGCATAATGAAATGTGCAAACAACCTTAAATTCTTTCATAGATAACATTCATCTTTTTTGATACAGGGGATTGTTAAATTGCTCAGGCTGGCCTCAAACTGACAATCCTCCTGCGTCAGCCTTTAGAGCAGCTAATACTGACACCACTATATCCACTTTTTGGATAATTTTTTATTAAATTTTTATCTATATCTCATATAATTGAGAAAAAAACCTGATCAATGGGAATAGATTCACCAAAGTATTCTTCCTGTGAGGATACAATATTGGAGTTAGTCATTCCTTACCATTTCAAGGGTATCATGCAGTGTGCTGGATAAGCTATCATTTAGGTTTGTCAGACATAATCCTCCATTTCCTAAAGCTAGAGATTAAAATGCAACAATTCATAAAAAAAGAAGACAAACTTAGTAAATAATCTGACCAAAAAGTCATAGAAACTTACATTTAAACTATACTGCAAGAGAAATACTGGCAAAGTTCATATGCAAGTAATTCTTTTTTTTCTTTCCTTTTTGGTGGCACTGGGGTTTGAATTCAGAGCTTTGTGATTGCAAAGCAGGCACTCTACCACTTGAGCCACACCTGCAACCTTTTAACAGTTTTTAAAACAGTGTAATTTATAACAAAGATGTTTTTATTTCACCTATCAGTCTGTCAGAAATTGAAAAGAATTACAAACAGCACTGCAGCTATGAAATTGAGAAATGGGCACTCCTATAAGTTGTTAATATAATTAAGAACTGATTAAAATTAAAAGTTGATTAGTCTTTTTAATCCAGAAGGCACCCTGGCAGTGCATTGGTGTTTTAAAGGTGCCTATTCTGACTCCACAATTCCATTTCTAGGCACATATCCTATAGAAGTTATCAGGTAAGTGAACAAAGATATGTGCACTGATGGTCATTAGAGACTTGTGTGTAGTCTGGGAACATTTAAAACAATCTAAATGCCCTCTAGTAAGGTATTGTTTAAATGGGCTACACAGTCATTTAAAAAACTATATAGACCTATGTGTGTTGATATTGAAAGATGTATACTATACATATTATTAGGTTAAAAAAATCAGGTTTCCTAACAGTATGCATAGTATGATCCTATTTTAAAGGCAAATATACATACACATATGTATGTATTTAGGTGTCTACATAGACTAGAAGGATATACTTCAAACTATTCATGATAATAATTATATAGTAGGATTATGGAGAGAATTTATTTTCCAAAATTAGAGCCCAAAAATGTTAACTAACTTACACAAAGCCCCTATTCTGTCTATTGTACCATGTTAAGTCTTCAAACTGAAGCAAAAACACTTCAAACAGAGAAATATTGCTAAGGGAATTATCATAATATAACCCGTGAAATTAATTAATATAATTTAACTTACTTTTGGGAGCCAATTTTTGACCACAGCTAAATAAAATCTCTCCTTCAGAGATGGGTCTATCCAAAGTTTCTGTTTCAGTGACAGTAACGCTCAAAGTACTCTCCAGTGTTGATGAACCAGAACTTGTCACATGAAGTGGGGAAGGGGCCTTGGTACCCGCAAGAAATGGCGTAAAGGGAATTGATTCTGGAGGTGCAGGCTGAGGAGGGAAGTCCACACTCTCAGGTTCTTCATCCTTAGCCACAGACATTACACTAAGAAGATAAAGACAAATTTTGAATTTATTAAGTCACTAAAGGCCCATATTCATTTTTATGTAAAAAACAGATTCAAAGGTACTATGTCTCCTTTAGCAAATTATTTCTATGATCTATACTACAATTAATTAGCAAGATTAATTTTTCTAAAACAGCTTTTATGCTTTAGTCATAGGCAACCTTGAAAGCTCTTTTAGCCACAGAATAAATCTACATGGGATATTTAGCAAATGGTAATGCACACTAGGGAAAAATCATTTTCTAGCAACAGTCTGACCTCTGTCTCTATTAAAATCCCTTTCAAACCTTTTAAAAATGAGGTAAAGGTATAAATAAATTTCAAAAAAATTTTAAAAACTTCATGTTCGTAAAATTTCTTTCTTCTAAAGCATAGTGTGGACTGGGGATAAGGCTCAGTGGTAGCATGCTTGACTAACATGCACAAGGCACTGGTTTGACCCCCAGCACTGCAAAAAACAAACAAAAAAAGCTTTGCTTATCATTTCTGTGTTCCATGGGTTTATATAAGTTAAACATAAGCCTAAATTTATTGTTACTGAAAGTGAATATAGCTGGCCCTCCATATCCTTGAGTTCTACAACCAGGATTCAATGACAAAAAATATTTAGAAAAAATATGCATCTAAAGTTTTTTCTCATCATTATTCACTAAACAATAAAGTACAACAACTTTTTACATGGCATGTATGTTGATGTAGGTATTACAAATAATCTAGAGAAGACTTACATTATATGAGAGGATATGCATAGATTATATGCAAAACAATGCAATTTTTTACAAGGGACTTAGAGTATTGTGAATTTTGGCATGGGGGGACTTTCTAAACCAATTCTCCTAGATACAGAGAGGCAACTGTATGTTCTCATTTACATAGCTCTTGGGTGAAGAAGTTCTTCTTCAAGAGAGTTAGGATTCTCTTCGTCCAGTGGCAGGTCTCCATCATCCCATGGCTTGGGAAGCTCTGGGTTTGAAATCTTCAATTTATCAGTGGAAATCTCTGATAAAGTTGGGGTAAGAGCTGCTGCAGGAGGAGGTGAAGTAGCAGGGGTCATGGATGGAGTATTAACAAGTGTGATGGCAGGCATATCATTTCCTAAAGCTTTTTTAAAAAGAGAAAAACAACAGAATATACAGGGAACTTAAAAAACTAAATTCTCCCAAAACTAATGAACCAATAAAGAAATGGGCATGTGAACTAAACAGAACTTTCTCAAAAGAAGAAATTCAAATGGCCAGAAAACACATGAAAAAATGCTCACCATCTCTAGCAATAAAGGAAATGCAAATTAAAACCACACTAAGATTCCACCTCACCCCTGTTAGAATAGCCATCATCAGCAACACCACCAACAACAGGTGTTGGCGAGGATGCGGGGAAAAAGGAACCCTCTTACACTGTTGGTGGGAATGTAGACTAGTACAACCACTCTGGAAAAAAATTTGGAGGCTACTTAAAAAGCTAGACATCGATCTACCATTTGATCCAGCAATACCACTCTTGGGGATATACCCAAAAGACTGTTACTCCAGAGGCACCTGCACATCCATGTTTATTGCGGCACTATTCACAATAGCCAAGTTATGGAAACAGCCAAGATGCCCCACACTGACGAATGGATTAAGAAAATGTGGTATCTATACACAATGGAATTTTATGCAGCCATGAAGAAGAACGAAATGTTATCATTCGCTGGTAAATGGATGGAATTGGAGAACATCATTCTGAGTGAGGTTAGCCTGGCCAAAAGACCAAAAATCGTATGTTCTCCCTCATATGTGGACATTAGATCAAGGGCAAACACAACAAGGGGATTGGACTATGAGCACATGATAAAAGCGAGAGCACACAAGGGAGGGGTGAGGATAGGTAAGACACCTAAAAAACTAGCTAGCATTTGTTGCCCTTAATGCAGAGAAACTAAAGCAGATACCTTAAAGCAACTGAGGCCAATAGGAAAAGGGGACCAGGAACTAGAGAAAAGGTTAGATCAAAAAGAATTAACCTAGAAGGTAACACCCACGCACAGGAAATCAATGTGAGTCAATGCCCTGTATAGCTATCCTTATCTCAACCAGCAAAACCCCTTGTTCCTTCCTATTATTGCTTATACTCTCTCTACAACAAAATTAGAGATAAGGGCAAAATAGTTTCTGCTGGGTATTGAGGGGGGGAGCGGGAGGGGGTGGAGTGGGTGGTAAGGGAGGGGGTGGGGGCAGGGGGGAGAAATAAACCAAGCCTTGTATGCACATATGAATAATAAAAGAAAAATGAAAAAAAAATAAAATAAAAAAAAATAAAAAGAGAAAAACATAAAAGTCAGCAAACAGCTCCATAGGAAGGGCAATATATATTGCTTCAGATAGCCCTCAAATTTTCTTTGATTGCCTTAAAATGATGGCAATGATAATAATAACGATGATGGTAGTGGCTGTTAGAGAATTTAAAAGTTAGTTTAGAACAGTATAAGAAAATAATTTTGAAAGCAGTTAAAATTAACATATACTTAGAGCAGCCTAAGTATCTATGAGATCAGAAGTGGTACTATAGTGTGACTGTTTCTCCTCTGAAAGTTCATGTGTTAGAAACGTAACCCCCAAATCCACGTTGGTGGTATTTGGAGGTGGGCCCATTGGGTGCTAATTAGGGTTAGATGAGGACATGAAGACTTCCCAGCCTCCAGAATTGTAAGAAGTAAATTTCTATTCTTTATAAATTGCCAAGTCTGTGACATTCTGTTATAGCAATATAAAATGGTCAAGTGGAAACCAATTCCTTAGTTTCCTTGCAAGAAAAATTATATATAAAACCTAGTAAGTAATAACTATATGTAATCTAAAACACCTTGTAAGACAAACCATGAAATTTTATTTAATAGTTGTTAAAATTAAAAATGAGTTATAGAAATGAGGGTTCTACCTTTTCAGCAAAATTTCTTTCACAGGAAAAGCCACATTATTATCTGAAACACAGGGAGAAGAATCTGGAGTTTTTACTAACACGCGCTCCTCAGAAAGTGATGAAGGTGAGCGAGGAGGAGTAGGCTGTGGGGTAGCCACTGGGGTACACACTCGTGCCTAAAATAAATTAGTAAAATAAGACAAATGGTATATATAATCGCGCAAACAAAAATAATGTGAAAACAATAATATTGAGCTCATCCATGGACTATGTAGAATTTAAATGAATGGGCAAAATAACAACAACAAAAAAGGAGTCTCCAATTCCCTGGCTCATAAATATTTAGCTCCTAGATAGGCATGAGGAAACTGTTGGGTAATTAAAATAGCTGCTTTGAAGTAGGTCCCAAGTAAATCTCAGTAACCCTCTTTTAATATGGAGAGGAAGATCAAACAGATACAGCTGAGGATCAAATCCATCTTTAAACCTGTTGGATAGGCTATACAACAGAAGGGAAGAATTTCATATAAAAAAAATCAGCCTTTTAGCACAAAGCAAAAGTGTGCAAAAAGTAATGGAAGGATAAGAAAAAGCAGGGGCAGGGAGAGATAAATATAATACTGAGATGGAAAGCGCTTGGGAAAGAAATGGTTATCATAAATGGTTCAAAAGTTTGAAGATATAAACTTTTCACATGATAGTGAAAATTAAGTTTTCTACCTATGTACTTTCTACCTAGTTCCCTTCCTCAGAATTATCAAACAATCTTGACTTAAGTAAGTCATTTCATATGTATACAGATTTAGCAATGGGATAAATACAAAGAAGTGGAACTGCCTAATTAAAGAAATGGAACTGCTTAAAGAGCTAATTGTGGTTGGGGAGAATTTATTGAGAGAAAAGTAGCAAAGAACAGAGCTCCCAGAGCTGGGAGGGGTCCCAAGAAAGGGTGCTCCTAATCGTGTTTTTAACTTGAATAGATGTTGCCAAATTTCTCTCTACAGGACTGTACAATTTTATATTGCTTCCAGAAGGTATGAGAATGCCGATTTCCCCCAAATTTGCCAAACAAAAGCATTATCAAACTTTGAGAGTTTTGACAATCTGATCAGTGAAAATGGAATTTCAGTGAATTGTTTTCTTATTATCAGTGAGGCTGACCATTTTTTATGTGTATATGGGCAATTTGTACTTTTTTGTGTATACTGTCTTGTCATGTCCTTTGCCCATTTAAAAGTGCATTATTTGCCTTTTTTCATTTTAAAAAGCCTTTATCTGTTAGATGAGTAGGCTTTATTCTGTATTATGAGTTGTAAATTAATGTATAATTTAAAATGAGGAAACATGAGTAATTTTGTCACATTGCTTAGTAATTAGCATATTCTTAACTTTCATTTTATAAATGAAAGAGGGTTGGGGTTCTGACAAATGCAAAGCCCTGAGTTCAGATTCCAGACCTACCAAAAAAATTAAAATGAAAGAAATACAGTTTTATTTTTCTCTTCTTGACTATATAAACTTAGAGCATAGAAAGGTTGTTTTCAAATATAATGCCACTGGAAATTCATCATAAGAGGATTTCAAGGTATTATTCTAGTACTGGTAATGGATAATGATGAGGTTAAACTATTAGTGACTATTTTACCAAGTTCCAGACACTAGATTAAGGTCTTTCATAAAACCTTATGAGTACCATGAAGACCTCAATCCTTCCCAAATTAGGCAAATAAAAATTAGATTAATTCCATAAAAGTCCTAGAAAGATTCTTTTTTTTTTCTTTTGGCAGTACTGGGGTTTGAATTCAGGGCCTCATTCTTTCTAGGGCGGTACTCTACCACTTGAGCCACACCTCCAGCTCTTTTTTGCTTTAGTTGTTTTTCAGAAAGGGCCAACCTTAGACTGTGATCCCGTTACCTATAGCCCCCTGCCTAGTTGGGATCATACACTTGAAACAACACATTCAGCTTATTTTTGAGATGGGGTGTCAATAGCTGTTTTCCTGGCCTGGCCTGGAATTGTAATCCCCAATCTATGCCTATGGATAGCTGAGATTACAGATATAAGTCACTGCACATGGCCACAGAAAGATTTTTTAATGGAACTTAAAAACTGCGTCAGAAAAAGGGTTGTGAACCCAAGCCTTGTATGCACATATGAATAATAAAAGAAAAACAAAAAAGAAAAAGGGTTGTGAGACCCTATTTCAATAAAATAAGCTGGAGGCTGGTGGAGTGGCTCACACAGCAGAGCACCAGCCTAGCAAGCATGAGGCCCTGAGTTCAAACCCCAATACCACAAAAAAAAAAATGGGTATGGTGGGTCACACCTGTAATCCCAGGTATTCAGGGGGCAGAGGTAAGAAGATTGAAATCTAATGCCTGCCCAGCAAAAGCGCAAGAGCCTATCTATAAAACAAATTAAAACGTAAAGGTCTGGAGCATGCTTTAAGCCCTAGAGCTCTTGCCTAGCAAGTGCAAGGCCCCAAGTCCAAACTTCATAAATAAATAAATAATTTTAAAGAGTAGAGCATGGAGTTATGAGCCTGTAGTCCTACTTTGGAGAGACTCAGGCAGGAGGATCCCTTAAGCCCAGGAGTTCAAGAGTTGGAAGCCAGTATGGCCAATACAGTGAATCCTCATCTTAAAAACAAACAAACAAAAACTAAAAATCCAAAAAACTAATTTTAAAATGTATTTGGCCAAAATGTTACATAGGTCAAAAGGTCAAGAAAAGCCATGACAATTCTGAAGAAACAAAACTTAGGGAAGGTTTGCCCTACCAGATATTCAGTAAGCAGATTTTGGCAAAGTCAGTGTCACTTAAACTGTTAAGTAAGTATTCTATTTCTATTATACAGAAAGGACTAAAGTATAGAGGTGAAGAATCAAATTCAAGTCTTATCACCTCCAAAGTCCTTGCTCTTAATAGTTGCGTAGACTGCCTATTTGTACTTGTTTTTCCAAGTTTTCTCATTCACCTACCCTCATCAGGACATGAACCATTAGAAAGCCACCGACCCTGACCACATCTATACTACAGGCATAGTTGCCAAGGAGTTAATAGAGCACAGATATTGACACAATAATTACATTATACCACACCAACCTCTACAAAAGTCAAATATACAACTTTATGTTCACACATGAAATGGATCGGTTTAAATGTTTCACCTATATAAAATGATGTCTTTTTAATTCATAGGCCCAGAAGTGCCTATAGAGTTTTAAACAGAAATATAAGCTTTGGATTTGTATAATTTCATGCTGCTCTAATGGAATATAAATTTTATTTAACATATTTAAGACTGATCAAACACACTATAAAAGTACCTGAGATATATTTTCTTTTAAAGATTCAAAACATCAGTTTAGATAATAACCTAAAGCAACCTAAGATCTTTGGCTATAACATGAATCACAAAAGACAGCTGGGGAAATCTGAACATGGTCTCTGCTATTATATGTTATTGACATTTCCATGTAAATTTGGAGGCATGAGAATGTATTAGTTACGTAAAGCAGTTTCTTGTTCTCAAGTGATACTGCCTATGCGTCTGAGGTAAAGAATCATGATGTCTCCAACTTTCAACTGGTGTATATATATATATATATATATACAACATAATATTTATAGCAGGTACAAAGTGAGATATTAAAGTATGCCCACATGGTATCAGTAGTGAAGTGGGGGTAAAGATATTCTGTGTATCACACAGTACACAACAGGTTTTGCAGGTATGAGGTTTCAGGAACCCATAGTTGAGAAAACTGCACATGCTCTGGATGTAGAGAGGTCAGTACTGAATTACAGAGTCTTGGTTCATTTTTTCATAATGCTGCTACCTAACTTCTGCTAAAGACATGTACTTTCAAAGCTCAAATTTTCATTTGATCCTTCAATTAAGCCCAGTAACTTTTACCTAGCTTTTGGGGGCACCATTTTTTGGGGGGGAAGCAGAATTTCACAAAATAAAGGGCAGGGAAACACTCATAAGCTCACATAGGAATTTAAAAATAACTGATGATAAGGTGGGAATGACTGAGGGCTTCTCCCTATCAACCGAGCTGAGTAGCAGAAATTTAAAAATTTTGCTTTTGAAATTTCTTTTGATTATTTTTTTTAACCATGCTTGGTCAAAACCACATGTACTAAGTCTGTGAATAAGTCAGTCTTGCTGTACTTTCAAATTTTCTGTAGATTTTAAAATTCTAAAAATAAAATGCTAGGTAAAATGTTACTTTAATTATAGCATCAAGGAATATATTACATTCCTTTCTACCGCAAACTGTGAGCTCATGATTTTCAGTTTAAAATTATCTATTTTACCATTCTTTGATAAACATATCAAAAATTTCCCAGAACTTTTAAGTCAGGAAAGGAGAATCACTCCTACCGGCAAGTATGTTTCATTTGTTGAAATATCACCAGAAACACTTGTAGCAACAGGATCTTGCTTCTTTGCTTCTCTGTCACCCAGCATGACAGCTATGGTCTCAGCAAGAGCTTCATTCACAAGATGGCTAACCATGTCTGAATTCACAGGAACCCCAGCATCAACAAAAAGCTGAAGAGCACCACTGCTTGTTCCTTCCACTAAAAAATTTAAGATTTTGTAAGTAGGCAAGAAATGGTCTTCAATACAAACCTTAATTCTTAAAATTTTAGAGATACTAATATATATGAATATGGGTGTGGAAGGAAGAACAAAAATGAAAATGCAAAGCCTCATTCAAACATTTACGCAGGTTAGGTGCCTGTTATTAGACGCTCTAGGTCTATTATTTTTCCAATAGGTTGTACTTTTTACTTACATGAATGTACATAAATTAAGTAAAACTTCTGTTAGGGACTTTACTGAACTCAAAGTGATATTTCTAAAGCTCTGTGTAGAAATATGTGAACAATGATCTGTAAACCCAGTGGGGTTGCAGTCTCTCCATAGAGTACTTCTTTAGTACAATTGATGGTAATTAGGTTTGAAAATATGTAAATACATCCTTTAAGTTTCCATAATTCATTGTTTTGGCATGACCAAAAATCAGAACCTATTTGTCATAAAGCCCAAAAGCCCTCCTCAGACATTAGAAAAACAAAAGCAAAACTACAAGCTTTTACAGAGAACAGTATAGAATCTAAATTCTCATTTTGAAAATTTTCACCTAGAAAAACCTAGATTTTCTTCTAACTTGGTTTTTTTTTTCCTTCCTTGAAAAAAATGAGATGATGAAAGAAAACTTAAGATAGTAGCAGTAGAGGATGGGTGTGAGGTATACTAAATAGGAAGAATAGTCAAATGCAACAACAAAGTGTATGTAGCTGTGATGTAGATTGTGGCTGACAGGGAACTGAAGAAGAACAAAGAAAAGAAAATAGAACCAACAATAATGCTAAAACTTTGGGGAATGGGAAAACTGATACCATTAAGAGAAACAAAGAAGAAAGGAAGAGCAGTTTTGGTTACAAAAATGAGATTCATACTGGACATGCCAAATTTGGATGCTGGTGGAGCATCAATAGAATATTCAACAGGCATAACTGTCATTTTTCAGTCTAGATACATAGCTTAGCTGCCATCAGCTGACATAGATAACTAAGGGTACAAGCAAACTGGAAAAAAATGGAAAAGAAGACAAAAACATAGAAACTTGAAAATAATTTTTTCAAGTAGCAATCATGAGACCCTGCGTTCAACCCCCACACCACATGCACACACACACACACACAAAGTCCAGAAACAGATCCACACATTTATAGCCAATTGAAAATCCATGTGCCAAGAAAAACCCTGAATCCTTACTTCATTCATATCATATATAAAATTTAGCTCAAAATATACCATATAGAGCTGGGGATGGTGATCAGTGGTAGAGTGCTTGATTCCCAGCATAAACCTAAAAGCATAATCTAAAACCACACACTTTTACAAGAAAAACATAGGAGAAAACTTTAATGATCTTGAGTTAGGCTTAGGCAAATTACTGCTTAAGCAGTGTGTCCAAAATAATTTCCACAAACTATAAAAGAAAAAATTAATCAATAGTAACTTCATCAGAATTAATCTTTTGTCTTCCAAAGATAATGCTGAGAAAGCAAAAAGGCAAGACACATTTCACTCTTGGGTTGAGTGTTGTTCAGTGGTAGAGCACTTGCATGAGCTCTGGGTTCAATCACCAGCACTGACAGAATCTAGGAGAACATATCTGCAAAAA